CTTTATTGGTCACTCACCCTCATTATTTGCGTATGCAGGCAACACTGTCATGTAGAAGCACATGAGACTCGTATACTTAACTTTTTCATGGTTGCTAAAGTTGTGCTTCCTAAGCTGTTGACAAAGCTCATAAAATAATTCCAATTTAAATGATATTAGTACACCAAAGACATCCATGTCAGGTGTTTTTGTTCTGCTCAGGAGACCCTCCTGGTGGGGACATCAAACTGTGTCCATCCAGCCTGTAGTTTTATGTCTTTTAGTTGCAGGTTTTGGGTCAGTTTTGCATCGTTCAGCAGTTTGTACCACTTGTACAGAGGTGTTATCCAACAGTCTTCAAACGTCTGTACAAGAGCTTCAAGTAAATCCAAAGGTTTTCCTAAATCCAACACACTTTAATAGAAACATGTACAGATTCTTTATTTACATATAAAAACTGTACAGTACACTGTGTGCTTTTCACTAACAAGAACATGAAGTCTTAAAAAAAAAAAACATCAGCGTATACATTTTCTGAATGCCACATGGGGCTGGTTGCACTGTTAAATAGCATGTGCATGAATGTAATGGCTGTAAAGAAATGGAGAAATGGTTCTGTAAAATAAGAGTGAATGCATGTAGCTCCAGTTTTATGAGTGTGTGTGTCGCCCTCTACTATGCTTCACTATTGGTGCCCTCCTGGATGTGAGTGTTAACCACTTCAGTAATTATTCTTCCTTTATTAAGTTTTCTGTAGGTATATTTTGTATATTATCCCTTTTTTTCCTACCCAATCTACTGTATTTAGTTTTACAGTCTTCATCCGTCCTATGTTCTTCATATAGTGGTCCTATGTGATCAAACTGAAGTGTGAGACAGAAACATCCACTCTGCTCATCCTCTTCCTGACTGTCAGTCTGGTGGCTGGAGCGACGCTGTGCGCATGCGTCCTGGATCACATCCACCAACATCAGGGAAGAAGAAGAAGAGGATGGCGGAGGATGGGAAGGACGACTCGGTGGCTACTGACGACGATTCCGACCAAACAGCAGCAGACGGGAGCCTGAACAACACGGTGCTCATTCCTGTTTCACCTCAATGATTCTTAGCAGCGGACAGTTAGCTGTGCTAACGTTACGTTGCCGTTAATGTCGGCTAACGACGTCCAGCTCAGCAGAGCTAGCTTACACTAGAGCTAGGAAAACGTAAGATAACGCACTCCAGTTCTGCTCAGTTCTGGTTTTGTGTTCACCTTTGAAACCGTTTTTATTTATTTTTATTTTGTCAGGGTGGACACTGAAGTGTACTGTTGTGTTATTGTGAACGTTCGTTAGCTGAAGAGATGACGTCCATGTTGACAGCTGTTAGGAAGCAGGAGGATGAAGTTGGCTTCCGATTGAAGGAAAACTTTCCTTGCAGCGCTTTTTCCTCCATGTCATGCTGGTAAACCGTGTTAGACATCCTAGAGAAGCCTGTAATGGTGTCTGAAACCAGCTGTCTTTGTGGGTAACCTTTATTCTGTTTATGAAAGTGTAAAAGCAGGATTCACTGCCTTTTTCTCATGTAAACTACAATAAAAACCACCGTCTATGTACTGGTCAGATCTGGACTGGCTCATGCCACATGGGAGCTTTAAAATGCCGTTTTTTATTGTGAGAACTTTAATTCTCTTAATGACAAATGCACAAAAGGGAAGCTTCATTGCAAAGCTAACTGGGGTGTTGCAGACCCAGCTGTGTGACAAAGAGCTGTTGTCTTCTTGTGTTGCTTCAGATGGTGGAAGAAGGCTCCACTCTGCTGCGCAGGATGGAGATCTGTGTGGCCGAGGCTGAGAAGAGGAGCGGCAAGAACGCAGTGAGCATGCAGGAGACGTTCACCGTGTACCTCATCGAAACCAGGTGGGGACAGCACATTTGAGAGGAAGTGCTGTGGATGTTCTGATATGTATTCTTGCTCGTGTTGTAGCGATGCGTTGGATTGACTCCTGTCTTCCTGTATCAGCCCTAAAAGGAAACTAAACTGTGGTTTTATCTTTCAAGGCCAATGGACGCAGTGGCTGATGGTCGTAACCCGGCGCCTGACTCTCTGTGGAGGCGATACAGTGAGTTTGAGCTGCTGCGGAACTACCTGATCGTCACCTATCCCTACATCGTGGCGCCCCCTCTGCCTGAGAAGAGGGTGAGTCCAGCGTGGTTTTACTTTCATACTGTGTCTACAAAGAAACATAATCTGTTGTTACAGGATAAGCGTAATTAGCTTGAGAAATCACCACTGGCTTCCATTTAGTCAACCCAGGTCAGTCAGTATGCGGCTGGCTTTCTCATTAGAAAATGCAACATACCATCTGGTGTTGTCCAGCGTACCAGTGCAAGAAAACTGTCGCAACAGCCTGCCATTACAAACAACACCATTCTTCATTTTGTTAGTGTCAGTACTTAAAGAATGACAGTGTTTAAAGCAGCTCATTTTTTCCTTTGAGTTGCCTCGCTGTGCGACAGGGTTTCAGTGTGCTCTACCTCCTCTTTGTGCCGTCATGCCAGCCGCTTTTTTTCCTCATAAGAACCCTGCAACTGTCATGGAAACAAAGCAAGAGGCATGGCAAGTTGCAAAATGTGGTCATCATTTCCTGTCCTTCATTAGCGTCTGCTACGGGTTACTGCTGCCCATTAATCTATCGTGTGTGGATCGGGCTGGAACTTCTATCGTCTATTTATTTCACTCAGCCAACAGTCAGGGTGAAACCACGACCACCAAATAATGCCTCTCTGAAAGATGTTTAACTTGCACAGACTGAGCGATCCAACCTGTTCATTGTTGCAGTGATAGACATGCCGACTAGTTCAAAGAATTTAAAGACCGACAGCTTAGCAAATGTAACAGATAACACAGTTAAATCACGCCCTCAAATATAAGTCAAACCAGTGCGATTCATTTTGTGAAGAGCAAACTTTCTCAGCATGGAGTTTGACAAGGCAATGAAGAGCAAAGATAATGTTTTAATTTGACGTCACCTTATTAACTGACTTGGCAATGTGTGATTGTTCTTTTTGTAACCACAGCATTAATACTGGTAGTGTTAACTGGCATTACTGCAATAATCAGGCATTCACAAGGAACCACATCAGCAACACCAGTTATAAATGATCATGCATATCTCTGCATGTACGTCATTTATATTAAGTAGCTTTGTGACATGAGGGTGGTAAGACATGAATGTATAAGGAGCTGCTCTTAATCAAATCAACTTTATTTATAGAGCGCTTTAGAACAGCCACAGCTGAAACAAAGTGCTGTACATGGGGCATGGGGTGAAGAAACTCAGAGAGGTAGGGCGGGACGAGGCCATTTAAAGCTTTGAAAACAAATAAAAAGAATCTTAATATGAACACTGAAGTGCACAGGCAGCCAGTGGAGGGAGGCCAGGATGGGTGTGATGTGCTGCAGTTAGCAGACGGGCGGCAGCGTTTTGAGCTAACTGGAGACCTGCGAGGGAGGACTGGCTAACTCCAAAGTGCGTTACAGTAGTCCAGCCGAGAGGTAATGAAGGCATGGATTGCCATTTCAAAGTGCTGGTACATGAGTAAAGGCTTCACCTTAGCAAGCTGCCTGAGGTGAAAGAAACTCGACTTAACGACTGCACGAGTTTGGCGGTCCAATTTAAAATCACTGTCCATCGTAAAACCCAAGTTAGTCACAGTAGACTTCACATAAACTGTCAACAGAATGGAAGAGTGCCTCCAGTTCTGGTTGGACATAAACATGTGTAACACATTATAGTACGATAATTCAGTCCTGCTGTTTCATGGATGTTTTTGTTTACATGCCGACTCCACTGCCTTTACATGGATGTTATCAAAATATTTCAGTTTCTTTAATGAATACAAAGAGTGTCATATTATTTTTTAATCTTTTGTTCCATTACTTTTGCTGATGTTTTAGGTTTTTGCTGATATCATTCCAGTGTCTGTATATTTAAGCAGGTTTTGCATTGAAGTCAGAGTTTGGTATCATAGCAACACTAACACCATCTCAGGCTGTTACAAACCTGTTTGTTCACTACAGCTACACTATGGGCGGCTGTGGCTCAGGTGGTAGAGCAGGTTGTCCTCTAATCACAAGGTTAGCGGTTCGATCCGGCCCTCCACAGTCCAAGTGTCCTTGGGCAAGACACTGAACCTGAAGTTGCTTCCAATGGCAGGCAGCAGCTTGCATGGCAGCTCTGTCACCACTGGTGTATGAATGTGTGTGAATGAGAAGCACATTGTAAAGCTCTTTGGATAAAAGCACTATTAAAGTGCAAACCATTTACCTTTACAACTCAAATTAGGCCAGTGATTAGCAGAAATAGTGTTGTGAATACTTTCCAGAGCCTTCGAGTTTAAAGTTTCTATAGATAGTTTCCACATGGACTCATCTCAGCAGCACTAACAATCAGGTGTGAAGAAAGACAACGTCCAAAGAAGGTCAGCTGAAAATGTTTGTTCTGCTCCACGCAGGCGGAGTTTGTGTGGCACAAGCTGTCCGCGGACAACATGGACCCAGATTTTGTGGAGCGCCGCAGAGTCGGGCTGGAGAACTTTCTGCTTCGTGTGGCTTCTCATCCAGTGCTCTCCAATGACAAGATCCTCTACCACTTCCTCACTGAGGTACACAGTGCTGGACTCTGGACCTGTCCATCTGATTATTAATTGTCATTTGTTTTTGTTTTTTACCAATATATTACTAACAACTTCTTCTACTGTGTGTGGCAGGAAAATGGCTGGAAGGAAGTCGTGTATGAGACAGGATTTCAGGCAAAGGTACTGGACACTGGTGGAGCTTCTAGTCTGTGTTTTTACAGTCAATTCATTTAGATGCTCTCAGCACTGATGAAGCTGAAGCACCTCCTGTGACTCCTTTGCAGGCAGACTCCAGGCTCAGAGCTCTCAGTGCCACCTTCAGGGTTAGAAATCCAGATAAGTAAGTTTTAAGTCTTCCTTATTTTTTCTGTAAGGGGGGCTATCCAGAGTCATAACTAGTGTCAGTAGTTCATCCCTGTTCAGTAAAAAGTAAATAATTTAAAATTGGAGCTAGATGTTCACCTAAGTGACTAACTGCATAACTAAGATGCAATAAGCTGGAAGTTTAAAGGACTCTTTTATGTATTATTTATTAATGATTAGTCTAACAGATCTTGTATTTGTCCTCCAATTCAAGGTCGTGAGTTAATCTGTTGATTGTTTTTTAGATGACTGGAATGATAGAGCATCAGAGAATGTAATACACATGCCAGGTCAGGATGATCTAGAGCTCAGAAAGACATCATTAAATGTCTTGTTTTTTGACAAATGTTCCAAAACTCTAAGGTGTTCTCGCTATTGACAGACCAGAACGGTTCAGACCTCTCACATTTGACATCATGAAACATCCAATGTTTAGAATTTCAATTTAAAACTCTTTCCAAAAAAAAAGTATGGATTAATGTGGGTAAAGAAGAATCAGCACTCTCAAAACGAGGATCTTGAAGTCAGCAGTTTACAGAACGTTACACAACACAAGGTTATGGGAGAGGAGCTCCCCGAGTAAAAGGACTGTCAGTATTTATGCACTTCTCATCACATTGCCTATAGACGGGTAAGTTGTCTTTATCCTGTTATGGGAGGATAGCTCTGTGTTTTTGTTGTACCTTGCATAGGAGTGTAACACTATATTCTCTCTTATCAGTCCACCTGCACATTCCTGCAAACTCTGAGGCGCCTGAAAGACACAAACACCTTCCATCAGTTATCAAAATAATGAAATACAACATATTGTAAAAATTGGTCATTTTTTTCTGCTTCAGGTCCACAAAATTATATAAACCTTTAAATGACTTGGTAGAAAGTAATCAACGAACACATTGATCTGTCTTCTGTATGTGTGTTTTTATCCTCTTATTCAGACGCTTCATGGAAATGAAACACTACAGCGACGAGCTTCAGTCTCACACATCTCAGCTGCTCCGAGCACGAGCAGTAAGTTCTTCATTGTTCATTCATGCATGTTTGCTTAAATCTACGGTGGCCCAGAAGTGTCACAACAAAACAAAAGCCACAACACAACACAATAAGTCACAACACTACAAAATTAACCACAACACAACACAATTAGCCGCAACACAACACAATGGAAGTTGTTGTTTTTAACCCGGAAGTTCTACTGTGAAGTGCGCAACGCCACACGAAGTGGGCAGAAGCTGGAGATTGTTGGAAACAACTCAAAAGTAAGTAAAATACTGATGGCAAATAGTGTCCAACAATCTCCAGCTTCTGCCCACTTCGTGTGGCGTTGCGCACTTCACAGTATAACTTCTGGGTTAAAAACAACAACTTCCATTGCAGCCGTTGTGTTGTGGCTAATTTTGTTGTGGTTAATTTCATAGCGTTGTGGCTTATTGTGTTGTGGCTTTTGTTTTGTTGTGACACTTCTGGGCCACCGTATAAATCCATTCAAACTTGCTACAAACATTGACTCGTTAAACCTGCTGTAACTGATTTTTTTTTAGGCCCTTAGGGGCCAGAAACAAGATGTGATCACATATTGTCATCTGCTTTTTAAGTTTTAAGCTGCGTTCAGTCTGTAGGTGTCTCTGTCTGCCGCTTAGTGCTAAGACGGTGGTGAACGATTGGTTGAATAGAGCCTGTTGTGGCTGAATAAACATGATGTAGGCTCACTATGAGCAAACCCTTCCATGTTAACGGGTTTGATCATAGCTGCTGAACATTAAACAGTGGCACTGGCTTGTACTGAGCTCAGAACGTCTCAAAGGAAAAAAAACTAACTGGTAGAAAAAGTTTGAAAGTTCATTATTGATCTTGGAAACAACAGTAACTGAGGAAACGTTGTCACCACATGATTCCTTCAGTAGTCAGCATTTCTTGTGTGTGTGTGTGTGTGTGTGTGTGTGTGTGTGTGTCCTGTAGCGGGTCGCAGATCGACTGTACGGTGTTTACAAGGTCCACGGCAACTATGGAAGAGTCTTCAGGTTTGAAAATTAACATGTAATGTGTCTGTGCAAGACTAAAACATCTGAGTGGATGATCAATTGGTGCTGTTTTTATTGTCTTGTTGGTCAAATCAATGTTAGTCCAAAATCACAAATCAAATTTTGTCTTGATCATCTGAACCCCAAAACAGGTGTGAAAGACCTGTTTTTTTTGTTGTTTTTTTTTTAAACGTCGTTGAAATTTGTTAGCCATCAATTTTCAGCTTTGTAGTGGTTCTTTCACTAATGACATGTGGTTCTGTTTGGAAGATGACCAAATGTAAACTTAAAATTGTGATATTATCACAATCTGAATCCTGAGGCGCTGCTATAGCTCACCTGGTTGAGCTGGCGTCCCATGGACAGCGGTTAAAGTCCCTGATGTGGAGGTCATGAGTTCAAATCCCGCTCATGGCCTCTTCTGCAGGTCCTTCCACCATTCTTCTCCCCCACTTTCCTGTCTCTCTCTCTCTTCACTGTGAGTGAAAATGTGAGCAGAGTGAAACAGATGCCCAGAAACTGTTTGAGGTTTGGAGGCTTTACAATCTGCACGGCAGACCGTTGATTTGGATGAGGGAAGGCCCAGTAAACCCCAAACTTTCTTCAAAACAGCATTTTCAAATGTAGCATCACGTGTTACACTCCTCCAGCACATTTACAAACGTGTGTCTGTCCATGTGTTCACTGCAGTGAGTGGAGCGCCATCGAGAAGGAGATGGGAGATGGGCTGCAGAGTGCTGGTCATCATATGGACGCGTATGTATTTGAGTCATGTGGTTTTTCTCACAGTTACCATATCTACGATTTACACATACATTTAACACGGGCTATAGGACTGCTCTTCTCAAGACACACATTTTTGTCACACACCTGCAGATACGCTGCCTCAATAGATGACATCTTAGAAGAAGAGGAGCATTATGCAGATCAGCTGAAAGAATATCTTTCCTATGCTGAAGCTTTGAGGTAAGACACAGTTTTAGCCACATCTTTACAAACTATTTGAACAGCTTAAGACGTAGTAGCTTCATGAACGTCATTTTCACAGTTGAAGCTAATGCCACCACTCTATGCTTTTCATCATGCGTTAACAAAACTCCCAAAGACAGAACATTTAGCGAGCAGGGTCAGCTTGTCCAAGTGTCGCCACAGAGTCGACATGATTCCTGCGATAGTTATCTGTTGTGAATATTTGGTCGAATCTTCCCTGTTGTTCAAAGAGACTCCAGAAAAGATGTACAGTTTCACAGTCCATGTAATATCAAGTAAATATCAGATGAGAATAATTACTTATTATTGTGTGGCTAAATGAGACACCTGGTAATATGTAAAGAAATAAGAAAGGACAGATGTAACACTAGAAAATATAAATCACTCTGAGAATTTAAAAAGATATAGGGAGACTAGAAATCACATAAAACTGTAAATCATTGTATTCTTATTATTAATAAACCACTAAACCCACCAGGTATTGTTTTAGATGCCACTAGTTGTTGTATTTCATGCACAG